ATCGATATACAGTATTATCGATATACAGTATTATCGATATACAGTATAACAAAATGTAGAAAAACCTGACAGCTGGCACGACAGTTTCGTCTCAGCACTTTTTGAAGCATTAAAGCTGAGCAGACAAACACTTCTACACAAAACAAATGCATAAACGACTTAACCTTTTTTATCCCATCTATCTAACTCCGATGTAGATATATTTAATTTACTTTTTGCAAAAATCAAAGTTTAGTTTCCTTAATCCTCTAGATCAGGGATGCTTTAAATCCTCAGTTAAAATTTGTTTATGTTAACATAAACTCTGAAATGTTCAAACAAACAAAAAAAAACACAATTTTTATTCAGTACTGTGAAAAACATAGGGTAGAATTAGTAAACTGGTTACATAAAAATGGAGATTATCTACAAGTCAATACAATTCAGGAGTCATTGAAGGACGTGGTGACAACAGAAAACACTGATTAGATCATAGTGTTTCTTTGATTAGGAGACTAAATTATTTCACTTCTGCAACGAAAGCTGAGACTTTACCGCGAATATTATTGTTCGTAAACTTTTATCTTTATTTTAGCTCGTTTGAATAAGGCGAATAACTAGTTTGGCTCATATAGATACAACTGGTGTGTAAGCGCTGGTGGGGCAAAGTTAAGACTCACCTGATGGAAGCAGAGACGCAAACACGAAAAAAAAAATCCAAACTACTCCCTTAAGCGCTTTATAAACACAGACGGACGAGTGTTACCCTGATCTGTCTTTATAGAATCAGACGAGAGATTTATGTGCTCCAACTGAGCTCTGTTAGAAGAAAAGAAATATCAAAATAAATAGGAACGTTACATTTTTTAACATCAACTGCTAGTTAGCATTAGCTGTTGCTATCTTTCGCTTCTTCTTCTTCTTCTGCTTCTTCTTCTTCTTCTTCTTCCTCCCGCCTTCAGCCTGCAACTGTTCGTTCTTTCTTACCGGCGCTGACCCCTAGCGGCCACTTGGTGTATTGCAAATGAAAATGCATGCAACATGCGCAGAGGAAATGCAAATAAATAAATAAAATAAAATAAATGCATGGAAAATATGTGAATTTTACGGTGGCCCTGAAATTTAAACAACTACAAATTATAAAACATAACGACAAAAAAACAAAAAACACAACAACATTAAAAAAACACACACAGCTAAAACAAATACACAAATCAAAAACATAACATTTTAAAAAGCACAACATTTAAAATAAGCACAACTATTGTAAATTTGAAAAACACAACATTTGTAAAAACACAACTACAAATTTATCTTGCAGAAATGGAGCACCTCATGCTCCAAAAAAAAAACCTCTCCTTTTTTTTTAAACTAAAAAATCTCTCTGGATGTCTTCAACTATACAATAAATTCAGATTAGAAGTATCAGCTTCCTGGATGACCTCACCTCCGTAAATTACATGTTGGCAAGTTTTATTTATATTAAAACATTAAAATGCATTATTTGAAAGGGTGCACAATGGTTATATGTAATGTTTCAAATGCAAATACTGAAAAAGATTTAGGTGTGATTTGTGACAAAATGGTGACAATAAAGGCTAAAGGAAAGCTTTTCTATACTGAGACCAGTAAGGTTGTATGTTTTGGATACAGTAGCACTGACCAAAAAAACAAAACAAAAAAAAAAAAACCCAGTTGAAATAACTGAAAGCGAAAGAGCTGAAGATATCGAGGTTCTCTTTAGGAGAGACAAGGATGGATAAGATTATGAGGTCAGAGGTACAGCACAGGTTGAACAACTGGGAGATAAATTTAGAGAGGCCAAACTGAAATGGTTTGGACATGTCCAGAGGAGGGACAGTGGGTATATTGGTAGAAGAATGTTAGAAATGCAGCTGCCGGGAAAAAAGACAAAGAGGAAGGTCGATGAGAAGCTATATGCTGCAGTTAGAGAGGACATGGAGGTAGTTGAAGTGAGGACAGAGGATGCAGAGGACAAAGTGAGATGGAGGAGGATGACTCTCTGTGGAGACCCCTGAAAAGGAAATTGTCAAAAGAAAAATAATTTTTAAATGAAACTTTGGTGTATATATATATATATATATATATATATATATATATATATATACATACTGTATTTATATATAAAAATCTGCTTCCATGGAATGAAATGTGGTACATAATGTTTTTTGGAAGAAAGCCTCAGTTCCTCAGTATGAAACAAAAAATATTTAAAAAATGGGGTGCTCAGGATCAAATAGAAAATCTGTTTCTTTAGTGCAGTGCGATCAGTACATAAATATGCAACAAAATGACCATTATACTGTGATAGGTTATAAAAGGCCATCTTCTTTATGTGAAGCCCCACAAAACAAGTGTGGCATTAAAATAACTAAAACTTGCAAAACAAAATCATCTTTCATCAAAGATGTGATCAGTTCAATCAGGCTTAAAATCATGATTAAAATGTGCACGAAATAAAACACGTCAGTATGTGCATGCTTCCTGCAGCAGCTGCTGCTCGTGCTTTCTGCAAGCATGACCTGAAAAGAATGCAGGCAGTCAGGTTTAACCGCACCGTCTGGTCAATTATATTTTGTTTGTTCACATGAAAGGCTTGGATTTATTATTTGTCTGTCACAACTGCCCCTCGGGCATACACTGAAATTTACCTGCATTTTAGTTCCGTTAAAAGGCATTGTCGTCTGGTTTGGTTACAGACAAAACAACCAAAGATCTTGTTAAAAACAACAACTACTACAACATAGCAGAAATAGCTCAAGATATTATTTGTCTTAAAATGTATAAAAACTCAGAACAACAAATGCCTTGAATTAAACGTGACAGAAAACATTTTGTTCAGCAGCTTCCTCACTGATTTAAATGTATTTAAAGCATCTTCGGCTGATGCTTTGATACGAGGGAAAACATTGTTTATAAATGGAGGAATTTACACATTACACAGACATATTTTACAAACTTTTTTCTTTTTTTATAATTTTGTTAAAGCCAAAGGTCTTTTCAAAAGTGTTACTTTTACTTAGTTCAATTATACAGAGCCTTTTAACAAAGAAAATCATCTCAGGCCATTGAACAAACCAAATAAATCCAGGTTCAAACCCAACTGGAAAAACTGTTGTGTAGGAAAACGCAGTGTGAATACTGAGTGTTATTAGAATTTTATCAAGCTCATCTTGAATTGTTAAAGAGGAAAATATCAGAACACAAACAAGTAGTGGAACACAAGCTAAAATGAGCAGAACATGAGCAGCACACAAGCTAAAACGAGCAGCACACAAGCTAAAACAAGTAGAACAAGCTAAAACGAGCAGAACGCAGGATAAAACGAGCAGAACACAGGCTAAAACAAGCAGAACACAAGCTAAAATGAACAGAATATGAATAGCACACAAGCTAAAATGAGCAGAACACAAGCTAAAATGAGCAGAACACAAGCTAAAACGAGCAGAACACAAGCTAAAATGAACAGAATATGAATAGCACACAAGCTAAAATGAGCAGAACACAAGCTAAAACAAACAGAATATGAGTAGCACACAAGCTAAAATGAACAGAACACAAGCTAAATTGAACAGAATATGAGTAGCACACAAGCTAAAATGAACAGAACACAAGCTAAAATGAACAGAATATGAGCAGAACACAAGCTAATGAGCAGAACAGCGAAAAGTCGGAACAGTTAAAAAAAAGGTGTGAGAATTTGTGTTTTGTTTTATGTTATTTCGTAGATTCTTGTGTTTCCTGTCTTTTCCCATGTTTCTTCAACACTGTCTCACTCCCAACACGTCATACGTCTGACGTTTGGTCAGACCCCCCTCTGCGTTGTCATCTCCTGCTTCACCTAATCCCAGTCACCCCAGGTGTTCATCATCACATTGTGTCCCTTTAAGTTCAGCGCCTTTGTGTTTCCACCTTGTCCGTAAATTGTGCTTCACTGCTTTTAAGCTCCACGTCTTTCCAAGTTCGTATTTTTGTAAGTTTGCTGCCACGTCGGCCTTTTTGTTTTGGATTATTTAAATAAATAATTTTCTTATTTTACCATCGATCTCCTTGTATCCGTCTGCACCTAGGTACAACAATGCAGACCCTGATAAAAAAAAATCTAAAATGTGCACAACATTAGATAAAAGCTAAATTTATAAAACAGTGGCAAAAAGCTTAAACACCCCCAGAACAGCATATAAAAGATCAAATCAGTAAAATATTAAAAAACATTATAAAATGTCACAAAAAGCTAGAAAAAGCAAAACAGTAGCTAAAAGCTACAGGCAGCAAAACAGTAACTAAAACTTTTAACTATGATGTTGTAACTGAAAGATAAATATAGCAACAAAAATGCATAAAGCTAAAATTATTAAAACAGCAGCTAAAAGCTAATTTCATAACAAAAACAATTGCAGTCATGTTCCTGTTTTTAGTATTTTACACCGATTTAACTGTTTGTCTCATTTTTTGCTGTTTTTGTTTCATATTTTATTTAATTTCTCTATTTTCATTTTATATGCTTTTTTATATGACTGTCTAATATTATTGTTTGTACTTCTTCAGTTTTTTGTTTAAAACAGGTCTCTGCCAAACAAGTACATTTTGATACTTGAATTATTCAATTGTGCAAAATATTCAATTCAATTCAAAAATACTTTATTAATCCCAAAGGGAAATTAATTGTTGTTGTAGCTCATCCAGGTTTCATTAGAGTTGTTATAGATGCTGATGGCTGTGGGCAGGAAGGATTTCTTGTAGCAGTCTGTCCCACAGTGGATCTGAAGAAACTGGTTGCCGATGCCGATCCCTTCACCCAGACCCAGCAGACCTCTCAGTCCTCTTGGGCAGCAGGACCACCTGAATGCCAGGCAGAACTCCTCCCCGAGTGATGTCCATTCCTCCCAGGAGCCTGCCGATCTCCTCGGCGCTGCGGACAAAACTGCAGGTGCCGGGGGATGCTCTCTGTCCTCCCGCTGTCACAAGCCATGTTTCCTGCCACCTCCAAGATCTCGGTGGTCAGGCACTTAAGCACCGCCTCCAGGTAGATGGGAATGCATCCACGGCACCTCCTTTTCAACTCATTTCGATTTGGGGCTGTGGTTGAGGTATTATTTGAGCTTTTGAGATGTTAATAAGCAACTCCCAGTTGCAGAAAGCCACCTTGTTGTCATGGTTACGCATCATAACAAATGTCTAAAAGTAAAAAAATTTCAGTAAAAAAAACTTCCAGCTGCACGGCGTCCAAAACCAGAGGAAATATTCATCCAAAAAAGCGATTTACATCCTGAAAAAAGAATAATTCAAGTTTTCAAAAGCAAACTCTCAGAATGAATGTAAGAGAGCTACGCCAACATGCAGCCACCTTGAGCGGCACTATTCTAGAATTTCATGGTTAAAAAAGATTTTACAGAAAGGATGATTAACAAGAAAACAACTATATGAATGCTGATTCAGCATTCACACAGTTACAAACAATGGGTTCAACCTATTTATAAAACAATAAAATCATAATCTGCACGTTACAAAATGTAACTTGTACTGAATCTTCACTTTGACTCAGTTCCTTGAAGGGGACAGTGATGAACAACGAAGAAGGATGGTTCCGTTTTGAATTAAAAAAGAACTCAAGTACAACCAGAACCAACCTGCACTGAGTGATGTGAGGTTGACGAAACAGGAAAGAGACACAGAAGAACACAATAATACTGTAAAGGAAGCATAAAATATGGCAATATGATACATGATCCACAATACACCATGTCCTCAGTTTCGAGAAGCTGAAATCTCCGAACATTTTCCTTGTTTCAGTTTTACAAATTACTGACACGATCATCAATCTAGTTTTAAACAGACACAACCATGTAGTTTGAAATATACACAAGCCACAACATTCCTCTCCAAGTAATGAACAGAAAGTACAAGGTGATCCGTGGCTGGAAGGGAGTGTTTTTGTGTGACTGACATTTATCTTTGTTGCAGACGGGAGCAACAGACAGGCTTTTAAGTCCTCCACTTCAAACAGACATGAGCTGAC